GGATTTTGGTGCTCCCCTCCCACAGAGGAGGCGAAACTTGGGGCTTATTTATGGGTTCACACAGAGAAACCCCCCCCCGCCCCACGATGGCCCTTTTTCAGTGGGGAGGGGGATTGAGAGGTGGGGAATAGAGGGAATCCGAATAGGAACCTCTGACCGCTTCGGCCGGGGCCGAGGCGAATTAAGGAATAGACTTTAGATCATAATGGGAACCTTAAGAAGACCGCCTAGTTGAAGAATATACCTTGAATCTTATGAGGGTTCCTATTATAATTTAAGGTATCTTCCTTCATTATGGGGTTTTTGAAGTCTCTGGGTACAGACTTACGAAAGCCCATGGACACTTAAAAGGCCAAACCCGAGACTCCTGCACCCCACACTCAAAGGAAACCTTTGGCCTTAATTATTGCCTTATCATTCCCGTATAGAACCCGTATAGACCCCTTTAAGGAACCCTAATAAGATTTAAAGTCTATTCCTCAAGTAAGGGTTCCTATTTTAATTTAAGGTAATTGCCTTAAACCCTAGCCCCTAAACCCCTAAACCCCAAACCCTAAGCCCTAAACCTATATTCCTTGATTAAGGGGTTTTGGAGTCTCTGGTTCCAAGACCGAACTCCCAGGCGCTCCTCAGTCGACTCCCCGCAGTGACTTTAGCAGCGCCGGAGCCTTGGGGACGGTCGTTCCCTTAGGGTTTAAGGGTTTTGGGGGTTTAGGGTTTAGGGGTTTTGGGGTTTAGGGTCTTTTGGGTTTTGGGGTTCAGGGTTTAGGGTTCAGGGGTTTAGGGGATTGGGGTTCAGGGTTTTTGGGGTTTTGGGGGTTTTGAGGGTTTAGGGTCTAGGGTTTCGGGTTTTAGGGTTAGGGTTAAGGGTTTATGGGTTTATATAAGTAGGGGCTGAGGGAGGTCACCTTGAACCTTTTGGGCCTTACATATTCCTACCATAACTCAACAGGTTAACCCTTTTTAAAACCATATATAATCATAGCATGATTGAAGAGGTTAACGTTTTTTGGGCTAGGGTCGTCAGCCCCTCAGTTCCTGTACTGCTCGTCATTCCTTTTGTCTGTCAAAAGTATTCAACATGGACGATGGTCATAGGATGTATAGCGGGGTTGAGGGCACTGGGTTTTGCGTGTTTAAGGGGATCCCTGAATCCATAAATCGTTGCAGGCGTGTTATATGGAATCTAGTGTTTAGGGTTCGTTTAGGTTTTTAGGGGCTTAGGATGGTTTAGGGTTTAGGGTTGCTTCCTTGGCTCTTCCGGTGAGGGAGAGAGTGCATTTTGCTGAGGCTGTTAAGGCTTTGGCTGACTCTAAAAGCTCAGGGGCTCTCAGGGGTTTTCCGCGGTACTCCAGAGGGTCCATTCTACATTGCCATGATGGAAACAGGTACCCAAAGACCATCCCTATTGTGGTTTTGGGGCCCCTACTTCCAGAATGGTAGTGTATATGACATAAATCCCGCATTACTTTACGGAACGTAAACTATGGGAATTATGGTATATTCCTTATTATGAGTCATGCAGGATTTATGTCCTCAACCGTATGGAGGAGACCCCTTAAAAGGCCACCCTCCTGAACCCTACTTTTGGCTCTCTTCGAAGGGGCCTTATTTTGAGAGTGTCTATATCTTGAAGGGTTCCCTTAATCCTAACTCCTAGGAGCTTTCGGGATCGATATTTTCTGCTGGGGTGGGGTTTGTAATTGGGGATTTCGGGATCAAGATTTTCTATTGAGGGGGCGGGGCTTGTGATTGACAACTAAGCATGATCTCAGGCAATCTACCAAACTCTGCAGTAGTTCTTGTGCCAACCCCCGATAAGATGCATGCTATCTGACTTTCGTCGAAGTTTTGAAGGATTTGACTTTTGCTTGCTTGTTACACCGCTGCTGGGACTTCAACTCAACACCCAAGATAGGGCCCCCAATCGCCTAAAGGTGTTTGGCGACTAACTCAATACACTTCTTCAGCAGGTTCCACAACCTTAGATCCTACACAAGTCCCGAATTGTGTACCAAACCTGGTGTGCCACAACAACATTGAGACAGAAATCCAATGCCCGACAATTGAGGTTTACGCTGAAAGATTCGGAGCCTATAAGGGTTTGAAGGTTTCTGGGAGTTAAGGCTGTTCAGTCATTTCAGGCTTCGGGGGTTTCAGCGGCATGTATAATTCTAGCTACAGTACTGTACGCTCTGACATTCCCTACATATTTATAGTAGGATAGACTCCAAATGCTTCTTGTTCTGGAGGACCCTACACCAAGACCTCCCCAAACCCCCGAACACCCTTGCTATACAACCCTTGCAGGACCCGTGTAGAAACCCTACTCTAACTCACAAGGCTCATAAGGCTCGTATACTAGGGTGTGAGTTGTGAGCTGACACACCAAAAAGCACGTTTTTTTGCCGGAGTCTTTGCTTGTGTGGGTTTGGGGTCACAGTTTGCGCCTTAGGCTTTTGATACAAAACAGATAGGGCGCTAAACAGCCCGCCTGAGAACGGCTCCAAACCGTCACATGTTTTCCAGTGATGCCCTGTGGAGAAGGTGGCAATGCAAAACGATGCTGAACACGGGCGCACAGGCAAACGCAGCAATTCCCCGTTCTGTCGTGACTTGAAAATGGCAGACACTGAACCCTACTCATCAACTTCCCCAAGCCCAACAGCCAACAGACCTTCATGTTGTATACCGGCTGCATGTCAGGCTCGTCATGCCCGAGTCTGATCGGAAGCAAGCCCTGGAATGTCTAAGGTTGTTGAGTTTGTATGATAACACTTCAGTCTTGTAACTTGATGGTCCTGTCTACAGCAAACTGTGCCACGAGTTGTTGCTAATCTTCCAGGAGGAGCGGATCTCCGTTTATTTCGAGCCAAACGAGTCCAAAAAGACCTGTTACTTCTGTGAAGCCAGGCCCTTTCTATTGCGCCGTTTCAAGCCATGCCCCTTGAACGCCGCGCCGTTCGACGGATGACGGCCATGCTGTTCTGCATGGGAGTCTTTGACCGCTTCTCAAGCAGAGTCGGCATGATTGGTTACAAGACGAACCCCTCAAGGCCGGAATCCGCAGCAGCGTTATCGGACAAGCTGTGTCGGGATACGCCTGACATCAATTTCGTGCAGCGAATTGCGTCGAAGCTTCCAGACAAAGAGAAGAGGTCGGTCTTGGAAATAGGATTCGGAGCTGGACGGGAGGCCCTGGAGCTACGAAAGCTGAAGCCACTGGCGGAAATTCATGCCATGGATAGACCTGAGGACGAGCGTCGATCAAGAAGGGCTCTTCTTGATCGGCCTGCCCCAAACGGAACGCTGCCTCCAACATCTCTCCCGTTACTGTGCTGTTGTTATTCTAAGTTACCATAATAGGGAGCTATAGTAAGTAATACAGTTTCTTTATTATGGTAACTTAAGTCAAACCCTTAGCAACAACCCAGGTTATACAGGAGAAAGCTCGAGAAGCAGAAGATTCAAGTTGTGCCACACATGCTTCCGGCAACGCTTCCATCTCAAGACGGATCATTTGATGTGGTCTTTGCCAGGTTCTCCTTGCACTACTTCAACGACACGGCCCTCGCAAGCATCTTCGCAGATGTCAACCGCATCCTGCGTCCTGAAGGTAGCTTGGTGTTCATGGTAAAGACCGCCGAAAACCTGGGATATGCCACTGGCAAAGTGCTACGCCCCGCGAATGGGAGGAAGGGGTGGCATGCTCTTCTGCAGGAGGCAGGTTTTCGTGTGGAGGTGCAAGAGCGAGACAAGAGGAGCAATGCAGGCGAGGGTAATTACAAGCGCTAAAGCCCGAAAGCCCTAAAGCTTAGAGCAGCAACTCCGAAGCCTTAAAGCACCAAAGCACAAGGGGAAAGCACAGCACAACACCTTAAGCTCTACACACCATGAAGCTCCACAGCCCGAGAGTTCTAAAGCCAAAACAGATTATACGAAACCCTAAACCCGAAACCCTAAACCCTAACTTAATCAAACCTAAGCTCCAGACCCAAGGAACTTCAAGAGTGGAACCTCAAGTCTTACTACTGTGGGGGCCTAAATCATTACCAATGGTATTTTTGTTTGTTGTTGTTGGGGGGCGGGGTCCTTATTACAGTTATAGCACAATGGGCTCGAAACTACAGAACGATCGAGGGGCCAAGGGCTCAGGAGTCGGTGATCATATTCTTAGCTCTCCACATACCCAACCTTTAAACTTTTTGGGCTCTTATAATTTTAAGCGCTTCGCGTCGTCCGCCTCGGCCCGGCCGCAAGCAAAGAGGGCCCACGAACTGCTGGTGCCAATTTACTGCAGCTCACCGTCGTACGGACAGACTGAAGGGATGCGATGAGAGACAAAAAACAAAAGAGAAGGGGGCGAGGAAAAGACTGGACGGCGGAGGAAAGAGATGAGGCAAAACAGCAATTAATTAAGGTGGAAAGCAGGCTCAGAAACTCGATTTTGAGAACGGACAGGATATGAAAACAAATGGCCTGTGCTTTCTGTCGAGGACCTTAGACTTGCAGCTCATCGACGGCTGCCGCTCTCAGCCAGTGCAAGAGAGAAAAAAGCAGCAAGAATGGCGGAAAAGCGGAAGCAACAGTGGAGGGAAAGTGAAGCGCACGGGTCGGGGAAGGAACGGGCGGGGAAGGGGGTTGGGCGGGGGCCGAGGAATAGAGGGCTGGGAGCGGGGTGGGGGGGAGTCCCTACAGACAGCCCAGATCCATGCAAAAAGGCGAGATTTCACCCCGCAGGATGTTGGCACAGACGAACCCCCCACCCCCCCCACAAGGCACTTTGAAGGGTGGGGGTCATTGGGGAG